GAGAGGCCGTCTATCCCGGGTGTCCCGGGGGGGTACTTGCTTGGTGACGGCGGGTATCCCAATCTTCCGTGGATTGTGATTCCTTACRGTCAATCGCMGCGTGTCACGAGSGCCAATCAGCGTTTCGATGCGCTGCACAAGGTTGTGCGGTCTTGTGTCGAGCGKTTTTTCGGAGTATTCAAACAGCGTTTCYAGTATTTCTACAGGCCCCATATACCGGACATGTCCCGTRWGAAGTTGGAGTTCCRGGCCTGTTGTATCCTCCATAATTTGCTGCRGTCGTGGGGGGATATGCCAGATGCGGACGGGGARCTCAGTGATGCRTCRTCTCCCRATGCTCCACCTSAGRATGTYGACCTCCGTGTTGAAGGCGCCCCACTGGAGTTTATGTTTGGCAGGGAGCGCGGCCAGGCGGTGCGGGAYGCATTGTGCGCTGAGGTTGTCCGTTTGTGGGAGCTGCGGYGGCGACAGGCCRTTTAGTTGGTTCATCGTGGATTGTWTAAACCCTGTTGCAGGCTCCCCGATTCACACAAGTCTTACAATTCTCCTTGCAGTTGCAGGTGTTGGGTTCGGGGCTGCCCTCTCTCACTGTTTGTACTTGCTCGRSCACGACGACAGTGGTGCCATGGCGGGAAATGTGACACGCAGGAACTACGTGTTCGAGAGGCATGTGCTCATCCAGAGCTTGGATAGGACGGAGGCGGAGGTCGCACGGCTGCATAGGTTCCTGGTTACGAGGGCCGACAACTTCACAATCAYACTGAGGAGCGGGGGGAGTGAACACACGACAGACATATCCTTGGAGAACATACATGCTCGCCGCTGGGCTTCCTCCGTGTTGAGACGGYTGYGCGAGTCGCGTGACGCTCTACGCCAATGTTGTGACGATGTTGTCGGCAACAATATGCAGCTACGCCGACAGCTTGATYGTTGGAGACGTGCGGCTGAGGACATGCGGGAAAGATTTGAGCATGCTTCCCGTGCTTTGGACACTGCTGTGCAGCAGAGGGATGATGCCATGCGCAGGTTGGAGTCCGCTGAGGAAGAGTTGAGAGTGGCGCGGGCTCAGGCAGAGATAGCATGGCGGTTTTATGACGAGGTGCTCCACGGCGTAGCATGTGAAGGCATGACAGAGGGTGAGCAGCTGGCAACGCAGTTGGACCGCTTGTGGGTTTCGGGGAAGGGGAAAGGGAAGGAGGCTTCGACGTCGCAAGCTTCTTCCTGTAGTGCCTGCGACGCCAACCGCGCCGCTTTGTTGGAGAAGGAGAAAGAAATTGCGAGTCTGCAATTCCAGATAGAAATGTACCAGTACCCGAAGTCGTTTTGGGAAGAGTGGGACAGGGAATTCGCTGAGTTCTGTGCAAACATGGGGTTGCCTCATGCACCCCTTCAGTCACGATCGACGTAGACACGTGAGAGAGAGAGAGAGAGAGAGAGAGAGAGAGAGAGAGAGAGAGAGAGAGAGAGAGAGAGAGAGAGAGAGAGAGA